CCAACCATTCAGTCCCGATTTCCAGGGACTGAGGGGTTTCCCAGGATGCAGGACTCTCCGAGCTGAAACTGGCACAGTCCTGGGCAAACAAAAATGGCTGGTCACCCTACCCAACTCCCCTCCTTCAAGCCACTGCCTCCCCTCCTGGCGCACATGTGTCCTCGGGGGATGCTGGTTATGAGGAGGTCAGGCACCTCTTCATACTGTTCCTACCTCCTTTGCTCCCCCTGGACTTGAAACCTGATGTTCAGGCAGACCCACTTGGCCATACTTTTTTCTCTTGACAATTCTCTCAGGGACTCTGTTGTCTCTAGTCAGCCTCATTCAGGAAGCTCTAGTTCTCTTCAGGAGGGCTGGTCTGTACACCTTAGGATCCCAGGGTAGCCAGGTCACATTCTTTCCCACAGGGCTTCTGGGCTCCATGCACGTCGATGGATATGGGTTCCCACTCTACAGCCCGGAACACTCTATGACAAAAGTTCCGTGAATATTCTGATAGTTGGTGCGTGGGTTGGTGCAGAGCACAGAGATTACCTCTATGGGGTGGAGTTGTCTAACTCTACAAGCCACCCTACCAAGTCTCTTCCGGGCCAGCCAAAGTAACATATTACACGTGCGAATGGCTTTATTTTCTTTTCCCCCTTTTTCTCTTCCCTTAGGTTTTTCAGTGAAATCTCTTTTGGATAAGCTCAACTTGTTTCAACTGAGCTATGGAGGAAGTAGAAGGGACATTTTCCCCACAAGCCTGGGCCTAGAAAACAAAGAGGCATCTCTCCGGAGCTGATAGTGAGGACTCGAGAAAAAACAGAGAACAGGAGAGAACTCAAAAGTCCATTTCTTCTTTCATTTTCTAGCAAACTAGGACATGGATGTAAAAATCCCAGCTATCCCATAGCATATTCGGAACCCTCAACTTTCAAGACAGTGATCTCAGACCCAAAAGTAAGTAGAAAAATCAACAACACTCATGGCACTGAATAGTCAGCTCTGATCACAACCTGAGAAGCAGAAATAAACCCTAAGGTTTACCCTCAAAGGATTCTACTCCCTCAGTTTGATGCAGACCATCAGCAGAGTGCTAGGTGGTTAGCAATAACTAGAAAATGCCCGGCTCTTGTACTCTTGTATATATATCGAGTGCCTTGAAGGAGATGGTCACCAAAAAACCAAGCCCATTGCCGTCGAGCTGATTCCAACTCATAGTGACCCTATAGGACACAGTAGAACTGCCCCACAGGGTTTCCAAGGAGCGGCTGGTGGATTCAAACTGCTGACCTTTAGGCTAACAAATGAGCTCTTTAACCACTATGCCAGCAGGACCCCAAAGAGGATAGCATCCTACCATCATTTTAACATCTTCATGGGTAGAATCTGGGAAGAGTAAACAGTGCCGTTTAAAAGTTTCAATAAAGATATCCGCTTCCAGGAAGATGGAGTAAATGTACTTTTCCCTAGTCTTCTCGGCAACTCAAGTCAATTTCGACTCATGGCAACGCTATCTGTGTCAGAGTAGAGCTGTGCTCCGTAGGGTTTTCAGTGGCTGTAATCTTTAGAAAGTAGATAGCCAAATCTTTCTTCTGAGGCACTTCTGGGTGGACTCAACTTCCAACCTTTTGGTTAGCAGCCAAGCAGGTTAACTGTTTGTACCACCCAGGAATGACTAAAAACTCTGAAAATTGTATAAAAAATAAATATTAAAAGACTCTGGAGAGAAGAAGGTAAACTTGATAGGGATCTTGGGACCCAAGAAAGTACACGGTGGTGAGTCCCTTGGGGTTTCTTTTTGGTTCTTATATGCCAGACTCAGCAGAAAAAGCCAGGAAGCTGAAAACACCTACGGACCCACACAAGAAAGGCCTCAAAAGTTTGGAAAGAGCTAGTGGTGATGGTTGCACAACATACTGAATGTAATTAATGTCACTGAATTGTATGTATAAAAATAGATGAAATGGCAAATGTTTTGTTATATATATTTTAACACAATTTAAAAAAATTTTTTTTTAAAAGCCTCAACTCTGGGGTCTTAAAAGTCTGTGAGCAGCCATCTAAGATATTCCCCTGGTCTCACCCCTTCGGGAGCAAGGGAGAATGAAGAAAACAAGATATAAGGGAAAGATTAGTCCAAAGGACTAATGGACCCCAAGTACCACAGCCTCTACCAGACTGAGTCCAGTACAACTAGATGGTGCCCGGCTACCACCACTGACTGCTCTGACAGGAATCACAATAGAGGGTCCCAGACAGAGCTGGAGAAAAATGTAGAACAAAATTCTAACTCACAAAAAAAGACCAGACTTACTCGCCTGACAGACTGGAGAAACCCTGAGAGTATGGCCTCGGAAACCCTTTTAGCTCTGTAATGAATATACAAATATACGTATATGCTTGAATATTTGTGTGGTGTGTGTGTGCAACGTGTGTGTAGGCGTATATCTCTAGATCTAGATACATAAATAGAGGAAGAAAATGGAAAAAATACCCACCAAAATAGTAATAATGGTTATAACTCTGGGAATTGGGCAGATGAGAGAACTGGAGGACAGGACTTTTCCTTCCTTATATACTTGTGTCTGTGTGCTTATGTAAGTGTGCTTTTCAGTATCTTTCGAGTAAGTTTTAAAACAAACAATAACAGATTAAGAGACAGATTCTCCCCGAGACCCATCCATTAATGTCATATCCATCTAGCTACCTGTCCACAGAATTGTAAGGCCTGGATTTGCCACTCACACAACACCTTCAGCTGATTCGAGACTTCCTGAGATCGAGAAGTCATTTAACGATTTCTACAGTTGGTCCTACTTTTCAAACCCTTCACCCCACCCTCCCGTGTGTGTGAAAATTCCCTTTTCTCTTTCTGCCTACGGATTTTTTGGACAGATACCATGTACATTCATTTAATTGAAAACATTTGCTGAGTTACCTCATAGCCACCCCATGTGATGGAGTAGAACTGCCCCCACAGGTTTTTTTTTTTGGCTGTAATCTTTAAGGGAGCAGATCGCCAGGTCTTTCTACCGCAGAACCGCTGGGTGGGTTCCAACTCCAACCTTTCGCTTATAAACTGTGCGCTTAACCATCGACCCACCAGGGGTCGCTACGAACTGAAATTGACTAGAAAGCACCCAACAACAACAGTGGCCTTCTGCCTTTCCTTCTCCAGCCTAAATGTTCCAAAATCCTTCAGAAATGGCTTTCACTCAGTGCTCTCATTAACTTGTAAAGATTAGAAATGACAGACCCCTCCGTCCCAAGAGGAGGGCGCGGGAGCACCTCGAGTCAGGTCGGAAGCGTCACGTGGAAACCACAAATCTCAGCCTTGAGGACTCCAAATCCCAACATGCAACGCGGGGGTGGGTGGGAACGTTTGCCGAAACTTTGCAAACGGCGGGTGTTGGAATTCGGACAGTTCCGGGGCAGAAAGGACGCAATACCTTGCTGGATATCTCTTTGCTTACCAAATGACGTCCAAAAGGCTTTGCCTCACGTCCACTGCTTCCAGAGGCCTGGTTTACTCCCTGTAGCCACCGCCTCTTCCCCGAAAGGTGCTGGGATCTTTACGCTCACAGCATCCTGCGCCTGGAAAGCCTGCCGCCTAACTCCAGTCCTGCTCAAATTCATGTTATTCTTGGATCCTCCACCCCCATTTCCACTTGGTATAAGACACAAGGTGGCTTTCAATAAATGTTGATAGGCTGAATGAAGAAATAATAAAATAGTAATTGTTATCCTAACCTAGCTTGGCTGAAAGATTGTGGAAGTATGAAGTGAGACAAATTGGGTTCCAACACCAGTTCTTCCGCTTACTGAGTGAACTTCTTCACCCCAGTGAGAGTTTAAGAAATATCTGTTGAAAGAATGAATAAAATGTCTTGCAGAGATGTGTGACAAATTAAACGAAATAATGCTTGCGTTGTGCCTGGCCGTCAATAAGTGCTCAATAAATAGAATTCTTCTTCTCCCTACGAGGTGATTCAAATGGTTGAACACTTGGCTACTAACCAGGTTGGTGGTTCAGATTCACCCAGAAGCATCTGGGAAGGAAGACCTGGCGATCTACTTCCCAAAGGTCACCGCCATTGAAGACCTTATGGAGCACAGTTCTACTCCGACACATATGGCTTCACCATAAGGTAGAATCCACTCAGGGGTAACTGGTTTGTTTTTGGTTGTGTTTGTTTGGTTTTTTCCTACTATTATATCCCATTCTGTATTTACGTAGACTGTAAGTTCCTTGAGAGATGTCTGACTTGGTTCCAAGCTCCCCACGGCGCCAGATCAGAGTAAGTAATAACTATTAGGTGACTAGGATGAATATGTTATTGTTCTTGTTAGGTGCCCTCGGTTCAGATTCATAGCAACCCTGCGTACAACAGAAGGAAACAATTGTCCAGTCCTGTACCGTCCTCACAAATCGTTGCTATGTTCGAGCCCATCATTGCAGCCACTGTGTCAAACCATCTTGTGAAGTGTCTTCCTCTTTTTCGATGACCCTTCACTAAGCATGATGTCCTTCCTTCTCCAGGGACTGGTCTTTCCTGATAACATGTCCAAAGAACGTGAGACGAAGTCTCACCATCCTCGCTTCTAAGCACTTTCTGGCTATTACTTCTTACAAGACAGATTTATTCGTTCTTCTGGCAGTCCATGGGATTTTCAGTATTCCTTGCTAACGCCATAATTCAAAGGCATATGGAAGACTACGATTTTTAACATGCTCAGGGCGGTGTTAACTGCTGGAAAATTACTGTGCCGGATGTACCTGGCCCCTTCGCGGCGACCACAAGTGCCATAATACTGCAGGAATACCAGCTTGTTCACCCACAGAGAAAGGCCTGCAAGACTTGCAGACCGAGCCTGGAGTCATGGGACCCCCACCTGCGCCTCTACCGGCCAAAGCCACCCCGGCCCCGTCCGAGTCCTCGCGCCTCCCTGCTGGGACTCCAGACCGGGCGGGCACCTAGGGAAGACGCATGCGCACTCTCCTCGCCTCGTCCTCTCCCTTCCTTAGTCAGTCTTTCGCATCTCAAGTGCTGGATGTTTTTGTCCTCTCCTGCGTGCGGTAGCAGTTTCCTTGCGGAAGTAGTAGCCGTGAGGGAAGAAGATGGCGGCCACTGTGGCCGGTCGGGTAAACAAGCGTGGTGGTGGAGGGCCGGGAGGCGGCGGCGGCGGCGGTGGAGGACCCAGAGGGACCGAGGAGGAACCGCCGCCACCCCTACAAGCAGTTCTGGTGGCCGATAGCTTCAACCGCCGCTTCTTTCCCATTTCCAAGGACCAGCCTCGGGTGAGTGCGGCGCACGGGAGCCAGAGGGCCTGAAGGTGGCGGGGCTGGAGCAAGTTATCCTTCCGTTGCCTCGTGAGGCGTGCTCTGGAGGGACCTTCTGTCCACTCCTTCCCAGAGACCTGGTTTATCTGGTTAGGACGAAGGCGGAGGAACCGCCTGAATCCCCCATAACCGCCTGACCAAGTGAGTGGCTGGCAGATTTGGGCAGCGTTGTCCACCTCAGGTTTGGAAGGATTAAAGCAGGTTGATGGTAGAAGTAGAGCCCTGGTGGCGCAGTGGTTAAGAACTCGGCCGCTAACCAAAAGGTCGGCAGTTCGATTCTACCAGCTGCCCCTTGGAAACCCTATGGGGTGGTTCTACGCTGTCTCACCGGGTCGCTGTGAGTCGGAATTGACTGGACAGCGACGTGTTTGGTTTTTTTGAGTATAGAAGCAGTGTTTGAGATGCCTTCACACGGGGATTCGATGGCCCAAGAGGAGGCCGCGCCGCCGCCTTCGATTTTGCAGAGGAAAGAAAGATGTTTAGGTGAAAGGGAAGTCGTTTTGCCTCCAGAAGGGGTCCTATGCCTACAAAAGGGCAGGCTAGTCTGAGCCCATAGTAACAGCTGTTTTAGATCTCATGCAGTCTGCTTTTTTTTTGCTTTGCAGGTTCTAATGACAAGGCAGTGCCATCTGTTGAAAGGACAGAAAGGGTTTAGTGGCGGTTCCCAGCAGCTCCTGTATTGTCTAGACAATGAGGAATTGGACTGAGCTAGTCCTGGGGATTGCTGGGTCACTCAGCAGTCGCCAATTCAGTGAAAGGGAGGGAATTCCATTGGGTTTAGAGAAAATCCTCTCTAAACCTCACCCTCCCCGCCAACAAGATGCCTAATGGCTGTCCGTTTTTTGATAAGTGATTGGAGGTAACTAACCCCTGACTCTTAGAAGGAGTATCAAGGCAAGAGATTTTATGGAGAAGAAGGCCTTAGCATTGCCTGAGTTTCTGGAGATAAGATTGATTTGCAATGTTATACTTTGCCAGCAGTTGCCTGCTATTCTATAGCAGCTGTGTGTCCAGCGCGAGGCAAGACGATTCCATGCTTACTATGTCCAGTTCTCACCACCCTAGACTAATGCTTAGAACGTGCCATGAATGTCAGAGATGCCTGAATACCTATGAACTGGAAAAGTAAAGCAAAACTATAGTGTTTGGAAGCATTGATAGAGGAGTGAAGATTGTTGTGGTGAGGGCAAGGATGGTACCTGAAGGGCCTCACAGACTCAAAGACTTCATATTGTTTTCATCTTGTACCCTTCAGGTCCTCTTACCCCTGGCCAACGTGGCACTAATTGACTATACTCTGGAATTCCTGACTGCCACAGGGGTGCAGGAAACCTTTGTCTTTTGTTGCTGGAAGGCTGCTCAGATCAAGGAACATTTGCTGTAAGATCTTGTAACTTTTCTTTCTGTGTTCCACCGTTTTTTTCCATTTTTCTTAGGATGGATGTAACTAAGTAAGGGGAAATTGTGAGGGGAAATGTATCTATTTAGATCCCATTGGAAGGTCTGAGGGGTTTTTGTTTTCAGAAGTCCTGTGTCAGTCCATCTTGGGGTTCCTGTGGGGAATATTAAAGAACAACACCTGGTTTTTGCTGAATCTCACTTGTAAAGTTTGGTCCCAGTGAGTTTTGCTTTTTATTTAATGGCTCCAATGTGGAAGTTACAAGCGTAACTTCTTTGTTTTTCCGCTGAGCTTCTAAACAACGCTAGCTAAGTTCTGCTCCTTGAAGACAAGAATGAGCTCTTCTTCATCTTTGTATTCCTGGTGCCTAGCTTAGTGCCAAACACTTAACAGGTGTTTGGTGAAATCTTCTTTAAAAGGAGGGAGTCTCTGGATTCATGGAAGTTTAGGAAGTGAATGCTAGGATATTAGCATAGTTTCTGTCAGACAGGTCATAAAATTGGTGTGGACTTCGGAGGGGGAAATGGGGCATGAAAATTGTGTTCCCAGGATGGTTTGTATGCCCCAGGTCTCAGCAGGATGTTGAGTTCAAGTCCATGTTTAGGGACAGGGGTCAGGGTATGGAGAGGAAATGACCATGTCTCTGTAAGCCACAGATCATGACTGGTGACACAGGGAGGAGGAAGCATTAATTATAGTTTATAAATCTCTTTGAGGTTGAGGACGCTGGCAGGAGCCCAGAAAAGCCAGAGAGAGGGAGTGTGAATGCCCCAATGGGGGATAAAAGTAGAGAAGGTCCACATGATCTCTGTGCTTGGCTTACTCATTCCCCTTACCCCCTGCCCTTAGGAAATCCAAGTGGTGCCGCCCCACATCCCTCAATGTGGTCCGGATAATTACGTCAGACCTGTATCGATCACTTGGAGATGTGCTCCGGGATGTGGATGCCAAGGCCTTGGTGCGCTCAGACTTCCTTCTGGTATCTGGGGATGTCGTCTCAAACATCAGTATCACTAAAGCCCTGGAGGAACACAGGTCAGGGTGGGAAGAGGGTAGAGCTGGGGCTAGGGACCGACAGAGCCCTTCAACTGCTTTTTCACAGCTCTTCTTCCTAACCTTCATAGGTTGAGGCGGAAGCTAGAAAAAAATGTGTCTGTGATGACAATGATCTTCAAGGAGTCATCCCCCAGCCATCCGACTCGTCGCCATGAGGACAACGTGGTAGTGGCTGTGGATAGTGCCACAAACAGGGTTCTGCATTTCCAGAAGACCCGAGGCCTCCGGCGTTTTTCCTTTCCCCTGGTGTGTGGCGTCGGGTTCGTGAAGTGGGAAGATGGCAGGCTTCAGCAGGAGAGACTGGCTGAAGTCCTTGTAACGTTTCCCTGCAGGGCTTGTTCCAGGGCAGTGGCGACGGGGTGGAGATTCGCTATGACTTACTGGATTGTCACATCAGCATCTGCTCTCCGCAGGTGAGCACTTCAGGTCCAGGACCCACGTCCAGAGTAGAGTTCTGAGAGGGCATTTCCACCCCGTTAGAAGACCAGGATGTATTTCTTCTTCCTCTTTTTCTTATCTGTTCTAAAACAAAAAGGTCGTCTGTTGTCACCTTGTCCCCCAGCATCCCACTGGGAGCCTCTTTGGGATTCTGTGTCCAGCTGTCTTAGGGTCTGATAGATCTCGGGGGGCTTCTCTTTGCTTCTGGAGAATACACTCAACCTTGGCCCTGCCCCACTTACCTCCACAGGTGGCTCAACTCTTTACAGATAATTTTGACTACCAAACTCGAGATGACTTTGTGCGAGGCCTGTTAGTGAATGAGGAGGTAAGAAAAGTCTCCAAATGCCTCTTCGGGAGACTAGGAGAGGAGTATGATTTTTTTCTCATGCTGGTACCTCTCATCCCTTCTTGTGTTTTATCGAGCCTTAGGAGGGAGGAAAGAGCTGGCGGGGGAGCAGTACCCAAAGAAAAGCATCTGGCCCTGTGGCAGTAACGCCGGAGGCAGAGGGAACCTAAGAGGGTTAGAACGATATTGTATCTGGCAAGTTTCTCCTGTCTTGCTTGCTTGAGCGGCCTCCTTTTCCTCTCACCCAGATCCTGGGGAACCAGATCCATATGCACGTCACAACTAGGGAATATGGTGCCCGCGTCTCCAACCTGCACATGTATACGGCTGTCTGCGCTGATGTCATCCGCCGGTGGGTCTACCCCCTCACCCCAGAGGTGAACTTCACCGACAGCACCATCCAGAGCTGCACTCACTCCCGGCACAACATCTACCGAGGCTCCGAGGTCAGCCTGGGCCACGGCAGCATCCTGGAGGAGAACGTGCTCCTGGGCTCTGGCACAGTCATTGGCAGCAACTGCTCCATCACCAATAGCGTCATTGGCCCCGGCTGCCACATTGGTGAGCGCAGATGGGGAAGTCAGGCTGGCCATCCCAGGAGCAAGAACCTGGGGGCCCTGTGTCTCCAGAAACAAGAATGTACGAGGAATGGTCCCCGGGAATGGAAACTAGAGTGGCTGTTCTAAAAAGGAGGGGACCGATTTGTGGCCTGTGGCCCTGTTACCGGGTGTCTCCTCACATTCCAGGGTACCCTGTATTCACATCCAGGGCCGTGTAGATGATTAACGCGGTGATGACGTGCGTTTAGTGTATTATGGCGTACACAGGGCTTCTCCGTACGCTATTTCACTTCATCCTTACAGAAACCTTGGGAGGTAGGTGTTAGGCATCCCCAGTTTACAGATGAGCAAACAGGCTCCAAGCGGTTGTCTTACCCAAGGTCACAGCTAATGAGAGGCAGTGCCGGGATTTTAATCTGAGTGTTCTGACTGAATCCAGTGTTCTTTGCACTCTGCCGTAACTGCCTGGATAGTCACTCACTCTGTTGGTAGGAATGTGATGCCTCTGATGGTACTGCCCCTTTAAAAGAGCACCAGTAAGATTCTGAGTCTCAAATGTACCAGAAGTAGAATCATTTGGTTCTAAACTTGCAGGCATAGATATGATTCTAATATGGTTCTTAAGTTTAGGGGTTCCCAGAAGTCTTAGAGGTTCTCAGCTTCTTGAGCCCTGTAGGAAGTTTGTAATTGTTGTAAGCTTGGTGGAGGATGGTCAGGCTGAGCAGTGATCTATTCTCAGGCCTGGGCTTAGAGGGAGAGAGGGTGTGTTTGGTGGATTAGGGACGGAGCGTTAGAGCTAGGTGGGAGCTGGCATCAGTCCAGTCCTCCATGAGGGGCTCTGGTCCGGAGTGGGGGCCCTGAGTGACCAGGAGTCCTTGCCATCCTGAACCAGGTGATAACGTGGTGCTGAACCAGGCCCACCTGTGGCGGGGTGTCCGGGTGGCTGCTGGAGCACAAGTCTGTCAGTCAGTGCTCTGTGACAATGCCGAGGTCAAGGAGCGAGCCACGCTGAAGCCACGCTGTGTCCTCACTTCCCAGGTGAGCCCTCACTTCCCAGGTGAGCCCCGTCCCGCACTGCACACAGGCCCTGACTTGAGCGGTGGTCACGCTAAGCCAGAAGGGGCCTTGTTTCCACCCATAGTCCAGCCTGAATTGTGTCCGGACCCAGTGGCTTCATCTACCTTCTGCTTGGCTTGTAAAAAGAAAAGTTGCTCTCACTGTCAGTATGTACTTTCCCAGCAAGCTAATGGGTCTTGTCTCCCGTTCCTCTTGTCTTTCCTAGGTGGTAGTGGGCCCAGACATCACGCTGCCTGAGGGCTCGGTGATCTCTCTGCACCCTCCGGACGCAGAGGAAGATGAGGACGACAGCCAGTTCAGTGACGACTCAGGGGCCGGCCGAGAAGAAGAGAAAGCGAAGCTGAAAGGTGTGGGGCGTCTGTGTGTCTTCTGCCCCCTAGAAAAACCAGTGTTTCCTCCTGGAGAGGTTGGTGCTTCTGCTGGGCCTTCCCTGAAGACTGGTGCTGTTTTCAGGCTACAATCCAGCAGAAGTCGGAGTTGCAGGGCAGGGCTACCTCTGGAAAGCTGCAGATGTGAATGCGGAGGAAGAGGAGGAGCTACGGCAAAGTCTGTGGGGTGAGTCACCCCCTTCCGCTGAATCCGAATGTTTGGAAGGATGATAGGTACCTCAGAGCCCGATGACTTGTTTGTTCATCTGTTCGTGGAACAGGGCAGACACGGTGCTCTCCGTCAGCGGCCCCTCCTTTTCTTTCTTCTCACCCTTTACGGGTTCTCAGGACTTGAAGTCAGCTTGGGAGAAGAGAGCGAAACTGAAAGTGAGCAAAGTATGGATTCTGAGGAGCTGGACAGCCGGGCAGGCTCCCCACCGATGGATGATATCAAAGGTGAGTGACCGGGGAGCAGCGTCCTAGGACAGAGGAGGAGAACCTCCAGTGTGTTCTTTGCCAGGATCAACTAGCCAGAGACACGCGCCTCCCAGGGAGAGACTGGTGTGGAGTCAGAGCATTCCGGGGTGATGCTGGCCCGTGAACTTAGTCTCGCTTTTGTTCTAGTGTTCCAGAATGAAGTCTTGGGAACATTACAGCGGGGCAAAGAGGAGAACATTTCCTGTGACAATCTAGTCCTGGAAATCAACTCTCTCAAGTAAGAGCGGCTGTTCCTCATTCTCTTCTCAGGGCAGCCCCAGGCAGGGGGAGGTTCTCTCCTAAGTGCTTCTTCCCCAGATAGGAACCTCTTCCCTCCATATCCCACATGGACAAGGCCAGGAGCGTTTGGAGCAAGAAGGCCATTAGGTTCTAGTCTCAGCAGAGACTTCCCCCTTCCAAAACCATCTTGTTCCCTCTGACTTTCTCTCCTCCAGTGTCCTGCCAAAGTCCTAGTCCTAGAGCACGCTGCAAGGGCCCGCGAGGACCCTGGTGTCACCCCAGTCTCCCCACAGGTACGCCTACAACGTAAGCCTAAAGGAGGTGATGCAGGTGCTGAGCCACGTGGTCCTGGAGTTCCCCCTGCAGCAGATGGACTCCCCACTTGACCCAAACCGCTACTGTGCCCTGCTGCTTCCCGTGAGCAAAGATTGGGGCTGGGTACAAGGGGTTGGGTGGGGGTAGAGACACCTCCTTGCTGTGCTTGACTTTCAAGGAAATCAGGAGTGGAAGGTCATGATGTGGGTGTGTGTTTCTCTGGTGTCCTCCTTACCTCCGGAAGCTGGTGGGGTCCTGGAGCTGCCTGGGCTGGTCCAGAGGAGTTAGGTTGGGTTCAATACTGAATGGCCTTTGAAATGCCAGGGTTCAAATCATACTAGGCCCCCAAAAGTATGCCCAGAATAGACCCGTACTTTCAGAATCTCTGATTGAAAATAATTTGGCCCAGAATGAGATCAACCTTCAGGCTGGGATGGGTATTTTGAGGCAGCAAGCAGCATCTGACCCCCTCTCTCTTCCCCAGGAAGTCTCTTTTCTCCCCAGGCCGGGTTGCCAGCACCTCCTGAGTCCCTCTGGCATGATTCCACGGGGACTGCATCACCACCCGCTCACACTCCCATGTCACATCATCCGTATGAACTTCCTGTGCCGGCCAGCATAGGCGCGCTGAGGAATACACGGCTACTTCTTTCTCTCTCCTGTCTCCCGTAGCTGCTCAAGGCCTGGAGCCCTGTGTTCAGGAACTACATAAAGCGTGCGGCCGACCATTTGGAAGCCCTGGCGGCCATCGAGGACTTCTTCCTGGGGCACGAAAGTCTTGGTCCTTCCACGGCCAAGGTGAGTGCCACCTCAGGCCCCCCAAGGAGACACAAAAGAGGCCCCCACGAACCCAGGGTGTAGCTTGGTTAACAGCACCGTACACCCCTGGTGTCAGGACTGCTGCTGGGAAGAGCAGGCTAGCGAGGCAGCCGTCTGGGGCCAGCCTGGGGGCACAGAGCAATGCCCAGCAGTGGGTCCAGCAGTTATACCCACCCCCAGTGCCCACTCCTGTCTGCTTTGGAGGAGCTGCTGAGTGTGGAGGGAGGCCAGGGGCCTGGGGAGAGGTGCTGAGGTCTTCCTCCTCCTCCCCTGTTCTCCATGATATCTAGCTGGGCTCCACAAGGCCCCTGAGGCCCCCTTTGTGACCTTCCGCAGGTGCTGATGGCTTTCTACCAGCTGGAGATCCTGGCTGAGGAAACAATCCTGAGCTGGTTCAGCCAAAGGGACATGACTGATAAGGGCCGGCAGTTGCGCAAGAATCAACAGGTGAGTTGGGCTGCCTCCCTCTCCTCCTCTCGGGCTCCCTGGCCCTTTACCATCCATTGCAGGGTGGTTGGTCCCAGGACTCTGGTGCCAGAGCTGTGTACCTGCTCAGGTGAACAGGAGGGTCATGTGCACTCCACTGTTTCCCTTCAGCTGCAGAGTTTCATCCAGTGGCTCAAAGAGGCAGAAGAGGAATCTTCTGAAGATGACTGAAGTCACAGTGGCACCCCTGGGCCAGTGCGGGGAGGGACTCGGTGCAGAAGGAGGTGACCGCCATCCAGGCTGAGACTGAAAGGAGCAGAGGCTGGAGCCACAGGAGTCTCCCCACTGCCAGCAGCCGCGTGCCTCCCATCCTGGCTGGGGAATCGGGATGAGGGAAGGTGGCTGGAAGAAACCCTCCACCGGGGGAGGAGCTGGACAAGCGCTGCAGTGGGAGGAAGGCCAGAGGACAGCCTCGAGCCCTCCTTGCCACTTGTGTTTGTTAATAATTAAAGGAGCGACAGAGGTGTACTCCGTTTCTTTCCAGGTCTGACTGACCAGCCGCTGAATTATTTGACCAGAGTTCGGAGCCCCTGACAGGGCAGCCTCTTCTAACACCTGGGGAGAGAGAGCAGGGGTGTGGTGGCCACTAGGTGGCACTGTGGTGCTCGCTGATTGACCATTCCTGTGCGTTATGGGTGGTGGAGGACCTAGGTTCTCTCCAGCGTCTGTGAACAAATTTGTGGTCCTGGAGTGGTATAACCGAGTCTGTTTCCAGAAAGAGCCCTAATGCGAGCACTTTTCAGCCAGGTTTAGTGCTTGGTACTGAGTCACGATGCCAAACATGTTCCTTCTCCAGCCAACCTAGGACTAGACCTGTCCGGGAAGCCAGGTCACTCTCCATCTTAAAGATAAGGAAAGTTGCTTGACATTGCACTGCTCTTGGGGGGTAAAGCTAAGGACTCGAGCCTTCTAATCCAGAATTCTTTCTGCATCAGCATTTTCAGTACCTGTTGAAGGGGAATTGCCCCCAGAGGCAAATACGACCCCAAGCCAGCGGTGGCTGTCCTGAGAATACAGAAGGCCCTGTGCAGTGAGCTTTCCCGTCATACTGAGAGTGCTTGTTTACCGTGTGACATGGACTTTGCTAAACAGTTTTCATGTGGTGTTTTATTTAACCCTCACATCAGCCCTATGAAGTACGACTTGGCCCCATTTTCAGACGAGGAGCCTGCAGCTCAGAGAGGTGAAGTCACTCATCTGAGGTCTTGTAACTGCTAATTAGTAGAGCCAGGATTCATTGCCAGACCAGAGCTGGAGTTTTACTCACTTTGCTCTATCATCTTCCTTAGCCTCAACCATGAGACTCACCCTTCTCCCTCATCCTTTTGAGCTCCTTGTGGCCTTTATGTAACCCTTACTCTGCTGACACCTCAGCTGGGGCAAACGTCCAGGTTTGGTAGCAAGTGGCCCTCCCCCAAGTGTCACATTAAATGGTTGCCTTTCTTCATTTCAGTTGGGTGGAAAAGATGAAGCTGAGAAAGAGAATACCAAACTCTGCTTGGTGTGAAGGTATTATTGGAAGTGTTTCTAAAGGAAAAAGACAGGCTGGCCAGGATTTGGCTTCATTTGCTTTTCCTGTTCAGTAAAGCTCAGTTTCTGCTTTGTCTCATACGGGCTCTAGTGCCTAGAGAGCACGTAAAGAGCGTTAACGGCGTGGACCTGATGGGGCAGTTACACACAGTAACCATAAGGCAGCTCTGACCTTTGCCGGATGAGTGGCAGAGACGAGAAGTGACCTACAGGACTTTAGGACGGAGAGATTCCTTCCAGTTAGGACGATGCGATGCTTTCCAGGACTATGATGCTTGGATGGCCTAAAACATGGAAAAGGATAGCGGGGAGCAGAGCAAAGGATTTCAGGTGAAATATGGAATTAAGCACATGGGCTTTTTTGCTCCTCTCAAAACTCTGTTAAAATGACAGAATTTTAAAAAGGCATGTGAGTTGATGATGAGGAAAACAGGAGGTGATAATGAATGAGAGATGCCAACACATTGGAGAATAAGAAATGTGAGAGCGAAGACTGACTAGCAGAGAGAATCAGGTTGGCTCTACCTGCAGAGGTGGTTATTAACAAGAGGCAAGCCAGCATGCCCTTATGAACCCAGAGAAGATCAGCACCTCAGAAGGGGTAAGAAGCGGGGCTGCCGTCTGGAGGGAGGGGGTAGATAAAGGTCTTATGAGAAAAAGTCAACTCCCCAGGTCCCCCCTCTTCCGATCCAGCTGAGTGATTACCCTACTTCTCCCCTACATGAAGAGGAGATAGATTCTCTGAGAATGGTGAGGAGGAAATTATCGACGAAATGCTTAAAGAAGGTTCCCTAAACCCAAAGGTTTTCTTGAGTGTTCAGCTTGGAGGGGTCCATGAGTGCCAGCACAATGAGTGAAATTTCAGAACTTCAGGGAGAACTTAAACTATCAGACTCTCGACTTGGCAGCAGGCACTGCGGTGGATGGGGGTGGGGTGCTAGTTTGAACATGAGGGATTGAGTAAAAGTATGAGTGGTGGAACTCAGCATCAGCACACTGATTTATACCCCCCAGCAAAAAAAAAAAAAAAAAAAGCCGTAGAAGGCCTACAAATACTGACATTTTAGGTTTCCTCAACAGAAAAGTTGGCTTTCCCCCATTTGATCACCCTACAGTTAATAAGCACTGTGCACAGGCAGAGTGTCCCATCAGCTTGTAGTGTCTCTTCAATGTGACTAGACAGGCAAGGACCATCCAACGTTTGAAGGAAAGAAGCTTCCAACATGAAGGCAAGAGACCAAAACGAGCAAACAAAAAGAAGGTCAAGGAAACAGTGACAGAGCAGGGAATTATTTGGAAACCAGGGGAGGCTACACGTATTCTCAAAAGCTCAGAGAGGGAGGATATCGTAGGTGTGAAAAAAGCGTTACAAAAGGGAAGAACTGGAGGATAAGAAAGAGTTCTCAGAAATAAAAAGTAAATGAATTATTTGTTGAAAACTGGAGGACCAGAGAACCAAGCAGGAGGGAGATGTCCGCCGCATATCCGTCCTACGTACCTCTCGAACTCTGCGGTGCGAATACGTCACCTAACCAGCATATACGTTGTATAGGTAAAGGATTGGAAGAGCTGGAAATAATGTTGCAAAAAGCTGAAATCTTAAGAAGAAAATTAAAGGATCAATCTAGAAAGTCCAGCATCTGACTACCAGGAGTTACAGAAAGAGAAGAGGAAAAATGATGGTGAGGATGTTACGAAATAATTCAAGACATGATTGTTGAACACCTAGACAGAAAGAGCCCGCTTAATGCTCAGCACAGTGAAAGATCCTCACCAATGCACACCATGAAATTTCAGAACCCCAGAAATTACGAGAACTTCTAAAGGCTTCCAGAAAGAAGAAAACAAGTCATGTAAAGAGGCGTGAGAAAAATAAAGGGATCGAACTGCTCAGTAGCAACACTGGAAATGAGAAGACAACGACATGATGCCTTCCAGATTCTGAAAGAAACATTTTCAGATACGCAAGTTATCAGAAAAGCTGTACTTCCCATGCTTTTCAAAGGAGGCTACCACAGGATGTGCTTTCCTAAAAAGGCGTATCAAGGAAATCGATCCAACACGAAGGAGAGGGAAAGGGAATTCTGCGGACAATACAGAGAAGTCCCGGCATGCTATTCAGCAGGAGACGGCCAACGGTGCAGACCACAGCAAGTGACTGGAAGGCTCCAGGAAAGATGGAACTGGTGGATTATCTCATAGATGCGAATGAGTGAACAAAATGTATACCGAGAAGCTATTAAATTTTGTAGGAAGAATCAACAATAGGTTGTTAGTTACCATCAGATTCTGATTCCTGGTGACCCCACGTGTTACAGGGTAGGATTGTTCCATAGGGTTTTCTTGGCTGTTAGCAGAAGTAGATCACCAGGCCTATCTTCCAAGGCACGGCTGGATGGGTTCAAAACACCAAACTTTAGTTTAGCGGTCGCGTGCAAACTCTTTGCGCCACCTAGGGGTCATTACAGCATTTTTTTTTTCTTTTAAAACCCATTACCATCAAGTCAATTCCGACTCATAGCGACCCTATAGGACAGAGTAGAACTGCCACATAGGGTTTCCAAGAGGCAGCTGGTGGATTCGAGTTGCCGACTTTTTGGTTAGCAGCCAAGCTCCTAAGGCAAAGTAAATGAAAAAGCAAGGCAGTAGTTTATGCCAGGAAAACCAAAAAGTTGTAAAGGGAAGGAAACAGTCAATGAATACACGTGGCTTTGCAATGAACATTTATTCATACATAGCCAAAGTAATGTCACTGTTGTGTGCTGTCAAGTGGATTCCAACTCATAGCGACCCTGTAGGACACAGTACAACTTCCTCATAGATTTCCAAGGCTGTAAATCTTTACAGAAGCAGACTGCCACATCTTTCTCCTGTGGAGAGGCTTGTGGGTTCGAACTGCCAATCTTTTGGGTAGCAGCCGAATGCTTAACCACTGAGCCACCAGGGCTCCTTATAATGTCACTACTAAGTACTAGCACTTTGGACATGTTATTAGGAAGGACCATTCCCTGGAGAAGGACGTCATGCTTAGTAAAGTAGAGGATCAGCGAAAAAGAGGAAGACCCTCAAGGAGATGGATTGACATAGTGGCTGCAACAGTGGGCTCAAGCGTAACAAGGATTGTGAGGACAGCGCAGGCCCGGGGGTATTTCATTCTGTTGTGCGAAGGTGCTGTGAATTGGAACTGACTTGACAGCACCTAACAACAACAAGTACTAGTACCAAAAGAGTGTGATTTCACTTTATTACGAGGATGGGGGAGGTGGAAGGGAGATACATCATCATCAATCAAATTGGAAATCATTCAGCAATGTATAGAATACATAAATGAAGAAATAGTATGAGCTTTAAAAAAAGTGACTATCCTGGGGATCACTTTAATAGTGACTTTTCTGGGGGTTGGATCCCTGGTGGTGCAGTGGTGAAGAGCTCGGCTGCTAACTAAAAGGTGGGCAGTTCAAATCCACCAGCCGCTCCTTGGAAACCCTATTGGGCAGTTCTCCCCTGTGCTACAGAGTCACTGTGACTCAACGGCAATAGGTTTGGCTTTTTTGGTTTACTGTGGGGGTGGGAAGAGGAATGAGACAGGAGTCTTTTAGTTGTTGTTAAAGCTTAATACTATTTGACTATACACACATATTACTTTGATAAATGTTGAAAATTAAAGGAAGTAAAGGGAAAGGTAGGAAGTGGGAATATACCAGCTGTACACAGGGGCTAGCAAGTAGGTTGATTTGCTTGGAGTTAAAAATTTGGTGAGGGTATAAAAAAAAGAAAAAACCATTGCCTTCGAGCTGATTCCAACTCATAGCGACCCTATAGGACCAAGTAGAACTGCCCCATAGGGTTTCCAAGGAATGGTTGGTGGATTCAAACTGCCAACCTTTTGGTTAGCAGCTGAGCTCTTAACCACTGAGCCACCAGGGCCAGGATATAGTGAGACAAAAGGCTGTGAAGGTAGAAGTGAGATTATGGAGGGCTTTGAATATCATGCTTAGTATATTTGGGAGGCATTGGGGAATGTGGGAAGGTTTCTTAGAAGAAAGAGTCCCTGGGTGGCACGAACAGTTTGCACTTGTCTACTAACCAAAAGCTTGGCAGTTCAAACCCACCCAGCAGCACTGCAGAACAAAGGCCTGGTGATCTGCTTCTGTAACGATTACAGCAAAAAAAAAAAAAAAACCTATGGAGCAGTTCTACTCTGTAACACAAGTCGCCATGAGTTGGATTGACTAGATGGCAATGGGTTGGGTTTGGTTTTTGGCTTTCTTGGGTGTCTAGAAGAGATACTCTTCAAATGTTAATTTGGCAATAGTGTACAAAGTGGAGTAGGAGGAGCCCACACTTGCTACCGTGGCCTAAAAGGCCCTAGGTGATCTGGCCCCTGCCTACCTTTTCAGCCTCATCTACCACTGTCCCTCTAGTCACAATAGCCTTCTTCCCGTTCTTCAAATTTGGAAGAAGTATAGCCAGAATGTTCCTTAGAAGCAAGGATGACAACACTGTGTCGCTTACTTTGGACATGTTATCAGGAGGGACCAGTCCTTCGAGAAGGACATCATGCTTGGTAAAGTAGAGCGTGAAAGAGAGGAAGACACTCAATAAGATGGATTGACACAGTGGCTGTAACAATGGGCTCAAGCATAGCAATGATTGTGAGGATGGTGCAGGACTGGGCAGTGTTTCATTCTGTCATACATAGGGTCGCTATGAGTCGGAACCAAATCGACGGCACCTAACAATAACAGCATTCCTGCCTTAAGTCTTTATACTCGCTGTGCTCTCTGCCTGGAATACCTGAGATCTTCTCGTATCTTGTCCCTCCTCATCAGTTTGGTCTTAGTTCAAATGGAAAAGGTCTTCCCTGACAAAACCCATCTTCCCTCTGTTCCTATCACATTGCTCCACTTTATCTTCTTAGTAGCATTTATCACTCCCTGAAGTTTATTTATTTACAAGCCTGTGTGCCCCCTAAATGAGTCAAATTCTTGAGGGCAGCCTTACCTGTCTTGTTACTCCTATATCCCATGCATAGCACCATGCCCAGCATATAGTAGGCACTCAGTTAATATTTATTAAATGAAATAAAAGCTAAGGAGTCAGGAGATCTGTTAGGGCACCATTATACCTAGTTCTAGTGCAAAAAGTAAGCACTCAACTACTAGCCTAATGGTGGGCGGTAGGAACTCACCCCGAGGCACCTGGGAAGACAAGTCTGGTGATCAGCTTCCAAAAGGTCACACAGCCTTGAAAACCCTATGGAGCACAGGTCTACTCTGACACACATGGGGTTACCATGAGTCAGAATTGACTCAACAGCAGGTAACAACATACCTATTTCTGGTCTGAGATTCGCTGTCCCAGACATGCACGCATACACCCATTCGCCAGTCGATTCATTTACTGAACCATTTAAACCATTGCTAAGCACCAGACTCTGGCTGGGCTCTGGGGTTGTAAGGAGGATTCAGAACTGGATCCTGCCCTGCCCTCAAGGAGTTCCGTTTGGTGGGCTCCATGACAGCAGCTGTACTTCTCAGCAGACCCTGAAGTGCCATACTGAGGTCCCGCTCCTCCAGCGATCCCTACTCAGAACCACTCTCCCTCGCCCCCCATCTCTGGGGACCGAAGGGACCCCAGCCTTCCACTCCTCCCCGGCGGCAGAGGAGCTCCTGGGTCCAGAGCCAGGGCCTTGGAGGGTCCAGGAACGCGGCCGTCCTGGTCAGGGCTCCCCTCCAGGTCTGGGGCCCCGCGCCACCCAGCCACGCTCCCCGCGGCCGGGAGGCCGAGCGCGGGGCCGGAGCCCGCGGGCC